AAAAACTTATGAAGGAAAGCCAAACCTCAAGTTTAAATGCATAAACAAATTACTCTTAGCAGGTAATTTTAAAGTATTATAAGCTCTTTTAAGTGAGTAAAGGAAGATGAGAACTCTACCCCGTCACTATACAAGCTTGTTCAGCTCCTAGCAGATATTGCAGAATCTCCTACAAAACATTTTACTTTGGATTCTAATGCTGTGGATACTCACAGCTGTTTCCTATGCCCAAACTTTCCCAGCTTCACAACTCTGTAATGACAGTTCATATCCTCAAAGGGAGTTGAGGGTCAAAATCAGATCTTTCAGCACAGTTCTTAAAATTTGTGAATCTGAGACTCATTGTCTGACACCTGATTAAGGAAAGTCAGCAAAGGCAGAATTCTGCCTCACAGGAGAATCCATAGTGCCTAAATGATTTATTGGATGTAAATGCACCTGAGAGATAGCCAAAGATGTACTGCACGTAAAAAGGTGTCTAATCACTTTACTACAAACACTGAAACATTATTATGGAACGTGGATTATTTTATTTTAAGTTTAGGGAGCTGTACTCAGGAGGGGTTTTGTTCTGTGGCAGATTTAACTGCATGGATGTAGCAGGAAATGAGAGGAGCTTAATTTCACTCAACAAGACGAAGGCTGAGAGGGAATATGATTGCTATGAGTTTGTGCTTTACAGGTAACTACTGTCAGGGGAAAGTGCTACTTAGTTTGAGTAAAATAGATCTAAATTAATGATTTTTGAATTTAGGTTGTTTCATTTCATTACATTATTGTTTCTGAGTACTAGAACAGTCAAATTCAAGGTTAGTCTTTCAGTGTGATGAGTGACAGACAATAAAATTTCAGAAAGAGCAATTTCCTTCAAGACAGGTTCTGATATTTTAATGGATATTGTTTGAGGTGATATCTGTACTTCTACGGGACTTTACTCCATCATCCTTCTGTGGTCTATATTCCTGTTAAATTCTATACATTAAAGGAAGCCTCTCTGGGCTGGGATTCACTTTGAAACAATGGAAAAAATATAGGTTCTCCATTTATAAAGTAGGTAGGAGAAATGTCTCTCCTTTATCTACAGAGAAGATAAAAAATACTAATTTATCCTAGAATCATACTGATCCTTAGACAGAAGTGAGATGAGTGGAGTACCATCCTGTATAATTCACAAAATCAATCTTGCTATGCTTCAAGTGGAAGATAGGGTAGAGACTGTGTGACCTTTGTTGCTCTCTTGCATTTAATTACTAATTTTGTAGAACCCCTTCCTGTAATAAGATATCCAAAATGAGGACAATGTTACAGCCTTGGTCACACTGGCTCTTCAGTACTAAGGAATAATGAGTATGGTACTCATGGTACTTTTGACTGCATTTTCCCAAAGTACATTGATAGAGTCTTGCAACCACAGTTATAGTCTGAGAAGGATGAGGTTTCAAGTGGCTTTAAGATTTATGTGGCTGCCCAGTGACATGGGCATCTCTTTAAGAAAAAATGAACTGGAAGGACTTTAGTGAATGTAAAATAAATGCAAGAACATCAGAATATAGCAGGACTGAACATACTCTTCTGGATCATCAAATTCCTTTCACTGCACTTGGAGGCAATCAAGTGTCTTACAGTTTTCTAAACAAACTCCTGAAGTAATGTTTGCTTCTCTGTCTAATTAAGCAGAAATAATAAAACAGAAAATTCAGCTTTCTGTGTTGCAGTTAAACATATTTATAACCTTGTGCTGCAAGAACCAGTTTTAATTACAGACCCTTAAATTTAATTAACTGTAGTTGCTAATGGACAAACCAGGATGTTCATTTTGTACATACAAAATGCATTGGTGCAGGAAAAATTGATTATATTGAGATTCTAGAGGTCTGCATCAGACATGTGGTACAGGCCAGCAAACAATAAAAATATAGTCTATTTCATTCTATAATAGGTTCTAATTCAGATGATGAGCTACTGTTTAAGGAATGTATGTATTTAATATCCCATTTAAGCAATGATTTTCTTCTCAATTCAGGCAAGGAAAGAGGAAGTGGTGCTAGACAAAGATGATAATTTTAAGTATTCTTCACTAGCAATGATTACCCTTTGCTTTGATAAACCATGCTGAATGTATTTCTAGAATAGAAATATAATCTCTTACCATTATTTGAAAAATGAAAGAGGAAGTGTTTAATGAACAGCAGTTTTTTTCTGTGGGCTGTGTCACAGACTGATTATGCTGCTGGACCCAGTGACAAAGGACCCAGGTGAGGCTGAGGTACTCCCTTTGCCTCAGTTTTAAACAGTAAGATCTGTCCCCACAAGCATTATATTGGGTTGGTTAATCACCCCAGACTGATGAAGCTGATGCATCTCAGGAAAGAATGACCAAGATTCTTTTGAAGGGTTTTTTATCTTGTTCAAAGATCAAACAAAATAATTTTATACTGGGTTAGTGTTGCAGAGCACATAGGGATATGTATTTATTATCAATGACATTATTGACAGTCTAAATAAGATTTGAATCTACACTGAACACATCTTTATTATTTGGAAGAAGTTTAAAAAATATGTTACAATTTTTTGTGAGTTGAATTTATTATCTGTTTATAATCTGTTCAGAGGAGGTTCAATTTGGACATCAGGAAGAATTTCTTCATGGAAAAGGTTGTTAAGCATTGGAAAGGACTGCCCAGGGAGGTGGTGCAGTCACTTGGTACTTAGTGCTTTGGTCTACTGATCAGTAGTAGGTAGTGATAGTAGTAGTGATCAGTCAAAGGTTGGACTTGATGATCTAGGAAGTCTATTCCAACCTAAAGGATTCTGTCCTTCTGTGAAATAACTTCAGTATATATTATTTAAATTATGTTTAGCAGTAATTGGTTGCTGCACAGAAGAAAGAAGCACTTCAAGATAGATAAGGAATTTGCAGCATGCTGCTCAATAGGATGGATTCTACATTTAAAATTATTTTGCTACTGCAGTTAAATCATCAGTTTACTCAAAGCTGAGAAGCCAATGTGGAGCTAAGGAAGTTGGAAAACCTGGTGCACTTAAAAGACAGTAGAGAGCAACCTTGCTGTGATTTCTCCCTCTGCACCCTCAGATGCCAGGTCTCAGGAGTCTGTGTCTGGTTGGTTAAATTGAAGCCCAGGTCAGCCTACCTTAAATGCCGGAAACATCTCACACTGCTAAGGACCTTCTCTGATACGAAAGAACAAATTATTAAAAAAAGTATATGAAAACTTTGTACTGCTTTTCAGACTTTCTACAAATGTTCTGTCACAGGCATACACTGAAGTGTGAAAATACAGCAAACTTACAAAATTCAACACATACAAAGGAGGACTAGGACAAATATAAAATAAAGCTCACGTTTCAGAGCTACATTTCACAGTTTATAGGATTCGTATTTTGTAAAAAAGTTTACTTTTAAAAAGGAATTTAAACATGAAATATTTCTTTTCTTGATTTAAATATTTTGTGAAACAAGAAGTGCTCTCTACTAAAAATTCTGAAAAATTATTTATTAAAAATGTCAACTAACGAAACTAATAATTATATTTAATTGTTACTGTTGTCAGTTGTGATGTATTCCATATTCCATACCTGTAATTATCTTGGACAAAAATGGTTCTTTTATATTTAAGAATTTGGAAATTTGAAGTATTTCCAGTGATGCAGAGGACTCTAGAACTCTAGAGTATCTCTAGAACAGAGAAGGCAAGAAGCAGAAAGGAAATCTATACTAAAGCTAAATCTAAACAACCTAGAATAAATCATACCTTGCAAGGTTTCTTTTTGTGAAGAAATGTTGAGTCACAAAAGACTAACTTTTTTACTGACATTCAAATTCATATTCATTAGTATTTAATGAATAAAATATTGCTCATGGTTATTTTTTGTGGGAAATACTGAAGTGTATTTGAGCATATGTATGTATAGAACAATTAAGCTACTATTCAATAAAGAAAAAACAAGAAGTTGTGGGGAATATTAAGTAGTTTTGCAGAGTAATTCTAGAAGAGAAAAATATTTGCAATTTAATTTCTATTGAAGACTGGGATCTTAATTGGCTGAAATAAGATTGAATTAGTGAATTATATTTTCTTCTTTTTAAAGAGAATGTAGCATATATTGTAACATTTCTCAGAAAACTTAAGTTTGATACGTTCACTTTATTTATAATAATCACTAAATAATTATTAATGAGGTATTTAATAGTTATGGTTGGAAACGGCTGAGGATTTCATTAGTAGCAAACTGGACAACATTTCAGAGCTATCATTAATCAGGAATTAGCAGGATTTATTGGCAAGGCCCTGAGTGAAGGAATAAATAGCGTATCAAGATTATGAACTGTAATAATGAAAAGAATGGTGGAGATGGGGAGTAGATGTCATACAATGTATTTGATGTGCTTTTATCTTGTCCGGATTCAGCTAATGCCTGAGCATTCAATTATAGATGTCAGAAAAGCATCAGCTGGGTGAAGAGGAGAAACTAGAGCCAAATGTAAGTTAGATGGTTGCCGAAGGAGAGAATAAGAGCAAGTGAAGTCAGCCTGATGACTTTTGTGAAGCAGAAGGGATTTTAGAGAGTTTCCATCTTTGTGTGCCCTGCTGTCCTCAGCAATCCCTCATTTCTCATCCCATGACTGCTGACTCCTTTCACACTGTAGCTTGTTCTTGCTCTGAGCTGTGAGGACAAAATAAGGAAAAAAAAGTGTAGTTTCAAATGATGATTGATGACAGTTTTTTCTTCTTGTTGAAATAAAATGTAGCTGGCTATTGATTCTCAGGTTGTGTAGTAGTAGTGGTTACAAAATGCATCGAAGGCAGGGTTCCTGGTGTCCCCGCTGCATTCAAAATACACAACAGATAAAGGATTAGAATATTTTTATTAGTTATTATTCAAAATGGATATGCCTTTGTATAAAGAAGAACTAATAATTTCTCTGTGTGCACACAGCCGGGGCAACGAGAACAGACTGGCCCTGCGGCGACAGACCATTCTCCGGGAGAAGGGCAGGAGGCAGGCCAGCCGAGGGCCGGCCTACATGTTCAATGACCACTCCACCAGCCTCTCTCTGGAGGAGGAGCGCTTCCTGGATGCCGCTGAGTATGGAAATATTCCGGTGGTTCGAAAAATGCTGGAGGAATGTCCCTCCCTCAACGTGAACTGCGTGGACTACATGGGGCAGAACGCCTTGCAGCTGGCAGTGGCCAATGAGCACCTGGAGATCACGGAGCTGCTGCTGAAGAAGGAGAACCTGGCCCGGGTGGGGGATGCCTTGCTTTTGGCCATTAGCAAAGGCTACGTTCGGATAGTGGAAGCCATCCTGAGCCACCCCGCCTTTGCCGAGGGCAAGAGGCTGGCTCTGAGTCCCAGCCAGTCAGAGCTCCAGCACGATGACTTCTACGCGTACGATGAGGATGGCACGCGGTTCTCCCACGACGTCACGCCCATCATTCTGGCTGCTCACTGCCACGAGTATGAGATCGTGCACACCCTGCTGCGGAAAGGAGCTCGGATCGATAGGCCACATGACTATTTCTGCAAGTGCAGTGAGTGCAATCAGAAACAAAAGCATGACTCTTTCAGCCATTCTAGATCCAGGATCAACGCCTACAAAGGTCTGGCCAGCCCTGCTTATCTGTCTTTGTCCAGTGAAGACCCTGTCATGACTGCCTTAGAGCTCAGCAATGAGCTGGCCGTGCTTGCCAACATTGAGAAGGAGTTCAAGGTGAGTAGAGGGACACTGATTCTGGCAGACACAGAATGGCAAACTTTATCCTTCATGAATCAGCAAGATAATGTGGGAAAAATGCAGTTTTTTTACTGAATGGAAGATTTAAATCTTTGTGAAAGTCTGGTTGCTCTGTGCTGATTGTAATTCGTGCTGCTTGTGTAGAATGTGCCAGTGAACTAATTTTCTACTTCCTATCAGGCAGGAGAGTGAAGGAGGCCCTTCAAACCCATGGCTGAAGCTGGTTTAGAGAAGGGTAAAGAGGAGACTGAAGTGGTACATTTCAGTCACTTATGACAGACAAGTTGCATGATTCTATTAAACCCTCTTGCATTCTCTTTAGTTTCTTGTATTTGGACCTGAAGTTTTCATACTTCTTACAGTGTTTTGCATTCATTTACAAGGAGGATTCTAAATAAATGTCCTCCTTGTTCAATTCTGGTATTTCTGTTCACTTCTTCCTCTTTCTTGCTTATTTGTACTTAGTTATATGTGAACTCTCTAGAGTTAAAAGGCTTTTTCAATGTTACACAGAGATTTTAGTATTCTGTAAATGCATGTTATTGAAATAAATAAATTAATAGCTGAGACCCAGGCTCCCTAGATTCTTGAAGCATTAGTTAAGGCAGTAAGAATGTGAGGTCTTATCTGTCAGTAAATGCAAAGTCAGGCCTTGTACAAACATTGCTAATGTTATTTATGACCTATATTAGCTAAAATCACTTAGCCTGGGTTTGCCTCATGGGACCCTGTCAAAAACAGATGCTCCTGTGACAGAGCAATATATATAGACTACACTAGTAGGAGATCAACATCCTTCCAAAGCTGTAACAGAATAATTTCCAACATTGTGTTAGCAACTGTTTGAAGTTATCATGATCAGTATTTAACAATCTTAGCAGTGGTACAGTTCACAAGACTGTGAATCTGTCTCTACTTAGCCAACCTGAGCTGAGGTGCTGCAGTTCTGAATGAATTTCCCTGGACTTGTGCTCGTAGGTATATCTTTGTGGCACCAGTCTATTATGAGAAGCTGGGATATTTCTTGGAGGGGAAATAAGGAGGAGGAATGTACAAGGTGATCTTAAAAACAGCAGCTGAACTGCTGAAATTGGAGGGAAAGAGGAAAAAAAAAATGCTGGGAGGACCATTTCAGATTATTGCAGAGGATGAATATGTGACCCATGAGGTCCCTGGCAGAAACCTTTAGGACCTCAGTGGACAGATTTCATCCACCGATTCCATGTGCAGTTCAAAGAAGAGTATTGAAACTACATACTTCTTTCTCTTTAGCAGCTGCTGATGGGAACAAAAGGACTTGATTAACTTAAAGCAGAGTAAATTTAGAACAGAGCTGAAAACCATTTTTCATAATCTGTAAGTGCAGCCTGTTAAGTTCACATCTATGCTGAGATAAATAGCATGTCTGATTTGTAGGGACTGTACAGATCCCTTTACCAGAGTTGGAGTGACACAAGCTAAGATTATTTATAAATAAGCTCATCATCTGGAACAGCCAGCAAGAGGTGCCCTTCAAATGTGTGCTGCAGTACACAATCAGTGGGATGAGTGGGAGCACAGTACCTGTCTGTGGCACCACCAGGCAGGGAATGGAGCACACAGGTGAGAGCCCAGGTAGGCTGGGTCACAGAACAAGCTTCTGCAGCCAGCTCTGAAGTGCCATGAGGAGGTCCTTCTTTGGTGACTTCTGTTTTTCCACTTCCTCTTTTGTCTCAGTTGCTTTCTCTAAAATGAGAGCTTTGCTTCTAGTGTAGTGTTGCACAAAGAATTTTAACAGATTTTGGATTTCTCAGCAGAATCAGGAGATTAGATTAGGTTAGATGAGAGACAAAGGAGCTCCATACTGCTGGGCATTAATCATCCAGGCTCTGATGGGAATATACATACTCTTTGGATAGAATGGAGTGGAATAGGAACAGTGAGGAGCACAAGCACAAGGCAACACAGAAATTTGACTCTTCAATAATTTAAGGTTTCACCAGCAGGAGCAGGCAGCTGACACTATAAGGTCTTTTGGGAACGTTTTTATAGATACTAAAACCATGAGGTGGTTCTGGATAAATATTAAAGACTGTGGAGTACATTTATGACAGAATTGATGAGATTTGACATTTACACTATTGATAAGCAGTGACATTTACAATATCTAGATAGGCCAGGGACTTGACTGCAAAATACCTGCCTTAAATTCAGTGGAGGCAGTACAAGTGTGTAAAAGTTACAAGAAATGGAGGCTGTCAGCTTTACTGAGTCAGGGCTTGTTTGTGTCCCTGCAAGTTCATACACCTGCTTGCAGCAATTAATCTAAAAAAGTGTTACCCTTGCTTTATTTCAGTTTTTTTTTATTTCAGGAGTTTGCTACAATTATTTGGTGAGTGTAGTCACTGCATAAAAGCGTGGGTTTGGTAAAAATGCTTTACCTGTGTTAGTGTAATTAAAATAAGTATATTTTTAGTGCACAGGTTAGCTGGACATGGCAAATCTTTAGCTCCACCTAGGGTCAGCCTGAGCCATTTAAAGCATTTCAAACCTTACCTAAATTAAAACTGAGCTTTTTGATATTATCAGAATATTCTGATATTATCAGATGATCTATTTTTTAGGTCGTCTATTTTATAGTGCTGATAGGGTATTGTAGCATGGGAACCGTCAGGTGGTTGCCTACAGCAGCCAGTGACACAGATAATTTCAAGGTTGTCCTCTGATGAAATAGGAAGGATCAGTGCTAAACTGTGATGCTGGTTGTTTTATGACTATTCTATAAATTGCTTCTCTCTCCTAATATTAGAGAGCACACTGGCTATGAAACTGTGATTCATTCAAAAAAAGGAAATGCCTTTTTTTGTCAAGGTGACACCATTATTCTCTGAAATAAACCTCTTTCTTTCTACAAACCTATGCAGTAGTGTCATCTAGCACTACTAATGCCTTTTGCATTTTGTTGAAAGCATTAAAAGTGTTGCAGTATTTAAGAGTACTTTGGATAAACATACTTTAATAGGAGTAAAATCACAAAAAAAGTAGATTACTTCTGAAGGAAGAATAACTGGACAGACATGTAAAGCACAGAAATATTTTTGTACCAAACAAATAACTAATTCAGGCTTCCTGAGTAATTCTGAGATCTTCAGGATTTTCTGAAGACCATTTAATTTAGTTTTTGTGTCATAGAAACATAGAATGGTTTAGGTTGCAAGTGACCTTAAATATCATCTAGTTCCAACCCCCCTACCAGGGCAGGGAACCTTCCATTAGACCAGGTTACTCAGAGCTCCATCTAACCTGGCCTTGAACATCTCCAGGGATGAAAAGTCCTCTAAGGACAACCTATTCCAGTGCCTTACTACTCTTATAGTAAAGAATTTTTTCCTAATTATTGAGATCAGAGCAGACAGAGCCAACTGAGTGGTGTTAGAACAGGTATTTTATTACATTGTCCATCAGTCTCATGGAAGGGTGAGACACTTCAGATGTTATATTCAATGCCATCACCTCAGAAGCCCTCTAAACTCTAGTTACAATGTCTTTATAAACTCTTTACCTGATCAACAAGTAACACAAAAGCTCACCAGCTTTTTTTTTTTTTTTTGGAGATGGTGTTCATGTTTTCTGTCATCTCAATGGTTTGCCCACCTAAGAGCTAATATCTTTACTGTGTACATAAAGATGTAGATTATATATGACAAATGTTGTCCTGCAGAGATAAGGCCTGAAGTTTTGAGAGGGACAGCTGTGGCCCAGTACTATTCAAAATGGATAAGATTAGCATTTATTATAAAGTCCACTGCAACTATAATGGCAACTGACTGGTTCATTGTTTAAAGGGATGAAATGGAAAATGTGTTTTTAAGTTAAACATGGATATATTACTGTTTGCTGTAAAGCAATCCCCTAATAACATTGTCCTTATTTGCTTTTCTGATGAGAAGCAAAATTCAATTTATCATCTCAAAGTCTAATTTTCTGTTTGTTTGTTTGTTTTTTTTCATTTATATATCCCCCATGACAGAAATGACACCCCAGTCTTCACTACAGCTATTGTCAGCTTTCCTAGAGAAAAAATAACATCACCTGTTAGAGAAGGAGTGAAGCACTGAAGACATGAAGACATAAGGGCCACCTTTAAAAGGGAAATAGTGTATTTAGCTGCCTACCATGACACCTAAACCCAACATTGCATCCCACTTTGAAACCCTAAGTTCTAGTATAGCAGTATCCATATTTCGTATCTTGGCCTCTACAGTTCACCAAGCACAGCCAGGGTGTGATGTGAAGCAGTCTCCATCTCATCCATGGAATTCAGTCTCAGTCTGCATCCTGAGAGCATTCTCATTCCAGGCACAGTCTGGGGACAGCAGGAGCCTGTGACTGGTCACAGGATACTGTGTGAAAAAAGACCCTTTCTTCTGGGAGATACAGCTGTAGTGATGCTCTCCTGCTCTCCTGGCTGTGGTCTCCTGCTGCATGGTCAGAGGTAAAGCAGGGTCAGCTGAGGTTTTCAGAGTGACAAGAGCCTGCTTGCTCCCTTACTTGGCATCCCAAGACAGTCTGCAGCTGCCACGAACACCAAGGGTGGGTGACTCCTCTCAGCAGTGCAGCTCTCACTCTCGCCCCTCTGCCACCAGCATTGTTCCCATGGTTCCTCATCGCCCACAGTGCTCACCCCAAATCATCACCTTCCTTCTGCAGGGCGGGAGCAGCTAGAACTGCTCCCTTATCCTTGGTGTTGTGAAATTTGGGACAGTTTGGTTTTTCCTAAACTGCTGAGGAGCCCTGAACCAATGTTGTCACATGCAGGGAATAAAGTACGCATGCTTTACTGCAGAATTCAGTGCTGATTCTTTTAGAGCCTCCAACTGTAATTTAATTTTTTTTAAGTTTCTCAGGAATGGGTTGTGTTTTTTTTTAATCACTAAGTTTACAACATGCAGTAAAGGAGAACTCATTAGCCATGCCTTTGTCCATTTTTTGAAAATAAGCTAAGCCAAACAAATTGCTCCATTCCTTTGGCTCACATAAATTGTAGGAGATGTGAGACCCAGGGAGGGAATCTTTATTTATGTGACAGAGACACTGAAGAGTGTATTGATTATTTCTGCTGTCATTTAATTTTTGTTCTGCCTTCAGCTGACTTTGCCTTTGCAACAGCTGAGGTGGGGGCAGTGATGGGCAATGCTGTTTCCCAAAGCTCGTTTGACATAACCTGACTGCCGAGAACTTTTCATCTCTGCTACTACCACTGGTCACAGCTGTGGCAGTATTTCACAGGAGGGGGAACTGTTTTATTGCATTTGCAAATGAGAAGATAAACTGATGGATTTTATGGGTGCATTTATGGGATGCTGATATATGCTGTGGTACTGCGTACAAACATAAATTCAGAAGGGATAATTCCCCTGTAGAGTCATGGTCTCCTCACATACTGTTTTGAAACTCCATGTCAGGTGTCAGTCTCTTGAGATGGAAAATACTGATGAAGTATGTGGGTATGGATGTATATACCTATCTTCTACCAGAAAAAATACACATACTAATATATTACAATGCTTCATAAGTTCTTATGAAGGCCAAATTATATTGTTCTTATGTTTATTGAAAGTTACTTTTTTTAATATTGGTATTCAAGGGTCAAATATCAGTTTGGAAGAGTTGGTACCTAATCATAAAAGGGTCAGTAGTTGCCTCTATGTTTCTGCTCTGTGAATTGAAAATGGCTAATTTTCCTTTCATTTGCTAGAGAAAATTCATGTGTTAAAAATACTGAATACTGAATCTTAGCTTCTGCACAAAAATGAAAGCCAAACAGAAGGTAAAATATTACTCAAAAAATGTCTTTCTGAAGTGCGAGAAGTCAGAATTTTGGTTAACCTCTCCTGTTATTCATCTGAATGAAGGGAAAACAAATAATGCAATAATATATTAATGAATAATATATTATTCAGAATGTCAGGAAATTATTAGTTTTAGTATTTAGCTTCTGTTGTCTTTGTAGATAAACAACATTGAAGCAAAAGCCTTTTGCTTTTATGACAGATCTGAGTTACCGTGTTTATTTTATATTATTAAAAAAATAAATCACTGGCAGTTTTATATAGATGTAAAATAGTGTCTGTAAATATTTGTCTCGGAATGTTTGCATCCATCTAAGCAAAGTGAAGTGTAAAACTTGGATGCAATCCTTTAATATATCCACGTAATAACTGTTATTGTAGTGTTGTGGGTAATAAAACACAAAGATGCATGAAGTACACCCTCAGCAAATAAATTAGGGTGTCCTGTATGCTTATTCCCTTACAGGATGAGCTATTGGGTGAATTAGATGGTGGTTAGTATGATGGAAGTATTTAAAGAGAAGGGGCTAACTAGAGACTAAGAATGGAAGAAGGGGGAATACCCTGAAAAACAGTTTGGAAAAGGGGGAAATGTGTCACTGTAATAAAAGTATTTGTAGAAAGCTACTTTGAACATGCCACAGAGACTACATGAGCAGTCCTGTCCAAAGTTTTCAAGAGTAATTCTAGGCCTTAGAAAAATCAGTATATTCATGCAATTCTGAAGAAGATTGGGAATTTCTTTAGATGTACTCTGAGTAGGATGCTCATCTTGTTCAACTGAAATCTCTACAGTGCAATTTTCTACATCTTTTCTAGACTTCTGTGACAGTGAATAGAAGAATTTCCCCTGTGCTATACATCTCAACTGGTCATTAAAATGTGTCATACTACATTTCTGAAAGTTTTTTGGGTTTTTTCTCCTACTTTAATTTCCTCTAAAGCGTGTCTAGAGGAGTGACTCAGGTGTGAAAATTGATAACATTTATGTGCAAGACACCCAAGGTGAGATGGATCCCATCCCTTGAACATTTGAGGAAAAAAAAGCATAACAATAGCAAAGAAGCTATTCATGTTCACTGATGTGTAGGTGAAATGTAGAATTGCTTCTCTCATGTTGAATCTAAACGCCAAGATATTCTCTTTCTGCTTCTGTTTTCTAGAATGATTACAAGAAATTGTCTATGCAGTGCAAAGATTTTGTAGTTGGGCTGCTTGATTTGTGCAGAAATACAGAAGAAGTGGAAGCAATTTTGAATGGTGATGTAGAGATGAGCCATAATAATGGAGAGCATGGTCGTCCCAGCCTCAGCCGCTTAAAACTCGCCATCAAGTATGAAGTTAAAAAAGTAAGCAATTATGTTGATCAAACAGGCATGTCATGATGGTGGTATAAAATTGTGCTATTGTTAAATTTTATGTTTTGATAGCCTGCAACACTGACATTAATATTTGAGCCCTTTGGGCACAGTGGTTTTACAATCAAAAGAATCCTCATCTACAATATGAACAAGAAGTAGATGTTTAAGGTGAATACTGGTTACAATGAGCATGAGAGCAAATGACTCTAAGACAATATGCAAATTTTTTTTTTAATATATATTTTTATTTTAAATCTGTTCTTTAAAGAAAAAAGATGAAAAAATTTTGTGCTACTTCTGAAGCCTGGAAAAATGTAAGATTTAATAAAAGCTAGAGAATAGCACATCAGTCACAGTGCACAACATAACAAATGTTGATATGAGTTTTTGTCAAGCTTGTGTCTTGCTCAGAAATGTGAGAAAACCTGGAGAAATTTCATGTCTGACAGAAACTGTGTTTGTGTCTGTACAGAGGGATCAGAGACACAACCTAGGAATATCAGTACTGTGGTTCTTAGGAGAAATCAGGTTTTAGGCAGTGCCAAGAATTATGGTTTGCTTTCATTTCTACTGTCAGTTTAATACTCTGCTCTCCATCTAAATAACACTCAGTAAAACCAGCTGAGTTTGTAGCTGCATAAACATTGGAATTTCCCAGGAAATTTGTCTTGGATAATATAGGTTGTAAAATTCTAGGTGACTCGTGTCAGCTGGGGAGAAACAATTTGTGTGCTGAAGTTTGCACAACCAAAGATCAAGAAGACACAGATAAAAAGTATACTTTAAAAGCATGTTGCCATAATTTTTTACAAAAATTGAGTTCACATCCCTGGGGGACACACAAAAAATTTATATGTGAGGTGTATTTATGTGTTCATGAATGGAAGAAAAGAAAAAAAAAACTATTTTGGCTAAACTAGTATATGAACAAAAGCCTGCAAAACACTTGCCAAACTGCAGTCACTAAAGAGAGCTGAAACAGCTGTTGATGAGAACATATTACACCTTGGGTCCTTCATACTGCTTGGGTCTTAGCACTTCTGCAAATGTGAACTTTCTTGCAACACTTCCTCTTACCTCAATAAAGACATTTCCTGTACATTCAGCCAGTCATCTTTTAAGTATAGAAAAAGGATCTAGAAAAAAAATGCTACATTCAGTTAATTTTTTATTTTTAGATTTGGATTTAAAATGTACAGTGCACAGGCATCTACTATTTTTTAACATCTACCTTTGTAAGATGCTTCTTATACTGTCTAGAGGACACAGAGAGCCTTATGGGACAGAATTCTCAGTTTTGCAGTTTGTCCAAATGGTTCCAGAACCGAGTTATAAATAATCCTCATCTGATTTCCTGTAAATGTGACAGCTGTTTTCTCATGCCAGCTGAGAAAAATTGTATTTTCTGTGTTAACATGTGAAAATAGGACATATTCTATCTTTCCTAAGTGAAGATTATGTAGTGTTTTTTGCAGAAAAAAAGACTCAAAACATTGGAATTTCTGAAGCAGTATAATTAAAATTATAAATGTCAGAAGCATATAGAGTTTGCCCAGATAAATTAGCCTTAGATGAAATTCATAGTTTGTGATGTAACATAGTGTTAATAAATAAGTTTTTTAAGTTAAAATATTAATTGCTGATGGCAACATGCCTGTTTGCTGGGAGATTTGGCTTATCAAAATGGTTTTTCTTATGCCCCTATAATGCTCCTTTGAATATAAGCTGCCTTTTCAATATTCCAGCATTCTTAATGCACTTCCTATAGCTGTATTTTAACAGACCTTATTCTGATAACTGTATTAGTTTTGTGCCCTTTTTTTTTTTATTAGTTTGTAGCACACCCAAACTGCCAGCAGCAGCTCCTCTCGATTTGGTACGAGAATTTGTCAGGTTTGCGGCAGCAGACGATGGCAGTGAAGTTTCTGGTTGTCCTCGCGGTTGCAGTCGGACTGCCCTTCCTCTCCATGGCCTATTGGATTGCTCCTTGCAGCAAGGTCAGCCTGGGAAACCTTATCACAGCCTCCTAATAACCCCTCTGCACGAAAATTCCTTTATGACAAAGCCACACTCAAGTAATACTTCAGAAACATGTTGTTTTAAAGCCAAGTTAGAGTAGAATGCTGCAAGATTGCACATTCAGACAATTGTAATTAAGACAGGTAAATGTGTTGTGTCGATTGCCGTATGAAATAAACTAAGTTACAGTGTTTGATCAAGTGTTGCCTTGAGGAAATCCTGCTTTATAAACAACAAGTCAAACAGTTTTTCACTTAATTCTTACCTTAGCAGGCAGATGCAGAGGGTACTCATCATTGATTCAGGTCTAAGCTGATCGAAGCTGTGGGTTGATTCCAGTCACCTCAAAGGCAATTTTCATTTTCATGATTAAAAATAAATAGATAACAGTCAAGACAATGCTACTATTCATCACATTCCAAGAGGCCTTCAAGGCAGTTACACAGCCTGCCCTGCATTCACTTGCAATGTACTTTCTGGGATTGGATGCTACCAGTATATCAGGTTTGGTAGATATGTAGTATGGAAGACCTTTCCAATAAAGATGGGTTGCAATTTCTGACCTCACTGACCTTTGTGTTAAACCCCTGTTTCAGTTGGCCAGTATCCATTCTGAGAGGACACTAATGGAAAAATTCACTTGAAAGTATGTTAGATGGAACAAATGGCCTCCTATAAGGATTGTTCTACGTGTTGCAGTATGAGATCCACAATTCTAGCAGGTTGAACTCTGTGCAATGATTTCAGGGGAAAAAAAAGGTTTAAAGATAGGACTGGGGTCTTTGTCTGTTTTTTCATTGTTCTCTGAGATGAGAAATGTGGGCCTCAAGTTTTGCCATATTTTTTTTCTTTCAATTTAGACAGTAAAAATCATTGCATTATTTTCACTTTCTGTTATTGTGACTAGGGGTTTTAAGAATAGTTTTCTCTTAAAATGCCTTGAGATACAACAGCAGTGACTTACCCACTTGTTATTTTCCTTCCTCAATGATTTATTTGTCATATATAAATTCAGTTAATCTAAAATTAAGAAGTACTTTTCTGCAGCTGCCGACTAAGTGGACAAGCTAAGACTTTTCATATTAATACAGGCACTATCAGAATTGAAAAATTGCTAAAAGCTCAACCACATATGAGTTTGTACAGAACTTTTAGGTTTTTAAAGTGTTGCAGTAAACCATTTTTTAAGTTACTTGTAGTCATATTGTACTCATTACAAAGCTGAGGACTTTTCCATTGTACAAGTCAGGAGGAAACTGAGACTCTACAGAACAAATAAAACTTCTGAGATGTCACGACTTTTTTAAAAAAAGAAAATAAGTTGGGGAAAAGGCACAATAATTGTGCTAAATTGAGTATCACATCAGTCAGGAAATTGAATTCTTTTCTTCATAATTCACTCATGGTGATAATGCTTTTTAGTAAGTGTGCCAAAATCTTATTTTCTGTCTTGCCTCACAATGAAGCTGGCTAGCATTAAGAAATTCAACAACTATAATAGATTTTTCTCTGGATTATCTATAATAGACATAGATGCCACAAAAAAAAAAAAAAAAATTACAGCATTATTTCAAATCCCTTAGTTAAAACATATATTTTATATTTTATCATTTCAGTTTCACTTTGGAAGTTTCCTCCAAAAATTTGCCCTAAACCAGGACACACTGTTAATTTATCCCTGGTAGCCTAACAGTGAAACTGATAGATTATTCCTCTGAAAATAGCAAATCAGTAGAAACTTCTAAAGATGACTGTGAACAGAGCATCATAGTATACAAACATTTTCAAATACTTGTTCCTTCATGTCATTGAAATATGGGATTATCTGCATTATTGCTCTTATTATATACCTTTTATTTGGAATCAGTCACTGAAATATCCTTGTGTTTCTTAATCTCTGTTGCAGCTGGGGAGGATAATGCGTGGACCATTTATGAAGTTTGTAGCCCATGCAGCCTCTTTCACCATTTTTCTTGGTCTGCTTGTCATGAATGCAGCTGACAGGTTTGATGGCACCAAACTCCGACCTAATGAAACAACAGACAATGTAAAACAGCTTTTTAGGATGAAAACATCCTGTTTCTCATGGATGGAGATGCTCATTATTTCTTGGGTAATAGGTAAAAATTTTTGCTTAAATTTGTCTTGCTATGATTATAGGTGAAGCTGAACCCAACTGAATCCTTTCCTTTTAATGTTTTGTGTAAAAATTGCAACAAAGGGAGTTTATTCGGCTGTCTTCTTTCCCACATGGGCCTTGTGGTTTTTATTGGATGGCAGTGGGATTCATGTGTCTAGTTGATCACATGCAGACCAAGTATTTATGTGAAATCTATATTATCTGAATATGAATTAATTCAGTTTTATGAATATCAAACTCCAGTTTTTGGAGTAGTTGAGTCACAGTGTGAGCTTCCAAGGGAAAAGATTTTTACATGATGAGCTAAGACTTCTTGTGTCCAATTGTCTCTTATTCTCTTATTTTGCAAGCATGCCTGCAGAACTAATAGTGTTTAGATGAATATATTAGTGACAAAAGAGAGGAATATAGGTCCCTGAAGATTTGGTGGTAGATTTTTCCGTCCCAACACAGGAATGAAACGAGTGCTATTGAGTAGTACTCTGAGCTGACCCATTCAGTTTGGTGACGTAGAGCTCTTCAGCATCAGAACTTGAGCGCACCCCTTCCAAAATATTTTAGCTGTCAGATTCTTACTTACAAATCTACTACCTTTTAGTCCAGTAGGGTTTAGATGCCCAAATATTTTAAGGAACTGCGTTCTAGTTGTTAGTTAAATCATTAATATGTGAGAGTTAAATTCAAGCAATCCATTCAAGAGCTTATGCATTTAAAGTATTTTTCTTTCATGACCTCACTGTGATTGAAATTTGTGTACCAACTGATTTTTAAAGCTTTAAAAGACCTTGGCATTATTTATTTATTTAATTGTAAAGCTGTTTTAAATTATTATAATGGTCTATTATAGGAATAATATAGCATTTAGATTTCCAAAGTCTATAAATATCAATATTTTCATCTGATAATAAAGAAGTAAATAATAATTTCTTTATTTGAGGTTCTAGTTTGCTAATTTAATCTATTTTTATTTCAGTGTCATGCATAAGACAGTTTATGAAAAATTGATTCATGCATACAGATGTGACATTGAATTTAGCTACTGTAATTGACATTATTCTTGTCCTTAGCTGAAAATGATGGAAAGTACTTTCAACTTGATAAGTGTAAAAATTAGTGACATTATCCATTCAGTTATTAACTCTCTTTAGAATCCTAGAATTGTACTTCGTAATTACATAATTTTTATCTTGAAAATTAAAAAGAATTTTCACAATAAAAAAAGCTGTCATTAGCTGTTACTGTCCTTATATTTTATTACTAAGGGACGGTAGTCAGGAATCAAACAGATACCTTTGTCCTATTGAAGAAGCATTAAATCTGAGTCTTACTTTCATGATTGTTTGTCACAGATATAAGAGAGACTGTACCCAGGGTAATGGCTAAAAAGAAATTCTGAGTTACTTATTAGCTCTACCGCTAATATATGTTCATGCCAGAGCCTTTCTGCTCTTCTCATCTCTTCCTGCGTTCATCTTCATCTGTTGATGGTAATACTCACAGCCCATTCTTCTCTTGGAAAGCTTTTGTAGGTTTACAAGAAAAAATAGTCTGAAAGATTGTTGTTTTCATTACTCAGATGAGAAAGAAGTCTCAGAATCTATATGAATTTGTGAGTCCAAGGATTTAATTTTGTGTTTGAACTCCCACTAATCAAAATAGTTTTGAGTTTGACAGCAACCAAGCACATGTTCTATGTATAATAAAAATATAAAGCAAGCATGATGAATAAGGAACACACTGTTTTCTCTGTTCTGTCTTATACAGGCATGATATGGTCCGAATGTAAAGAAATTTGGTCTCAAGGTCCAAAGGAATACCTGTTTGAGTTATGGAATATGCTTGATTTTGGTATGTTAGCAATTTTTGCAGCATCATTTATAGCAAGGTTTATGGCATTTTGGCATGCATCCAGAGCCCAGAACATCGTTGATGCAAATATGAAAGATCTGACAAGTCCAACACTGGAGCCCAGCATAAAATACTACACCTTGGGTGAGTTGATTGCACTATTCTTGGGCCTAAACCAAAGGATTTTCTTTTAATTAGTCTCCAATACCATAGTTTCACAATGTAGTACTGAAGAAGTTCCCACTCCTTCTCTTTCTTATCCTTATGTCAAGTTGAACATGAGGCAGCAGTGCCCTGGCAGCCAGGAGGGCCAACCCTGTCCTGGGGGGCATCAGGCACAGCATCACAGCCGGGCAAGGGAGGGGATTGTCCTGCTCTGCTCTGGGCTGGGGGGACCTCACCTCAGTGCTGGGGCCAGTTCTGGGTGCCACAGTATAAAAAAGATATTAAAGTATTAGAGAGCGTCTAAAGGAGGGCAGGGAAGATGGGGAAGGGACTGGAGAAGCCGTATGAGGAGTGGCTGAGGTCCCCTGGTCTGTTCACCCTGGAGGAGACTGAGGGGAGAGCTCACTGCAGTTACAACTTCTTGTGAGGGGAAGGTGAGGGGCATGCACTGATCTTTTCTCTGTGGCAGGACCTGGGGGAATGGCCTGAAGCTGTGTCAGGGGAGGTTTAGGTTGGATACCAGGAAAAGCTTCTTCACCCAGAAGGTGTTTTGGAACTGGAACAGCCTCCCAGGGAAGTGGTCACAGCACCAGCCCGACAGAGTTCAAGAAGTGTTTGGACGACAGTCTCTGGCACATGGTGTGACTCTTGGGGATGGTGCTGTGCAGGGACAGGAGCTGGACTTGATGATCCTCATGGCTCCCTTCCAACTCAGTTTATTCTATGATTCTACTATTGGATCATAGTTTCCCTGGCAGTGTTTGTACATCTTTTTGTAGACTGTTCTAGACAGCACTGAAATTGTCTAATATCAAAATAAACTCACTGTCACCCACCCCTTTTCTAGATTATTTGAATCTGTTCAATTACACAATACAGTCCTGCAAACCAGTCCGTGGTGGTGCAGCTGTGAATGGAATGTACTGTAATGCAGAACTGAGCAATGAGATGCAGGAAGTTCTTAAACCTGCTTTGTTAACAAAACCAAAATATATTTTGTATATACTCAGAGGCTCTATTCTACTTCTTTAATATTTCTCAATTCACTCTCTTTACTAGTAAGAGATAAAAATGTTAATGAACTTGCTTGGTATATTTGGGAAGTTCTAGAAGCTATTTTGCCCAACTGATAAAAAATGAAGCACTGTTGACTTGTGTGCACTCTCAACACCACCACATCTCTCTTTCCATTATTTCTGTAGATACTGAATAACATCAGTTTCTGTCTCTATTCTGTTCTTCAGATATTATTTTTGAAATGGTTGCATTTTTGTGTTATCCAGACTGCAGAAAAGCAGAGCAATTAAAATGCATATATTCTGAAACATATTAAATTGTAGTCATATAAATTTTACTGGAAAGTTATAAATTTCACATAAGTCTTAAAAGCAACTAGTTGAGGCATTTATTCATGTATGCATGGACACTGAAGTATGCTTGTGTATGGATAATATTAATAGTGAGTGTTTAATGCCAGGTTTTCTCACAGGCGAGCAAACATAACTTGCTGACACTAGGTTGAACAGCAATGGGCCTGTGCAGCACAGAAGGCCAGTGGTATCCTGGGCTACATTAGGCAGAGCACTGGCAGCAGGTGGTCCATAAAGACCTCCCATAAATAAGCACACGTTATACTGACAGGAATTCTCATCTTTTGTTTCCAGCCAGAATAAACTGGGATCCGTCTGATCCTCAGATAATTTCTGAAGGGCTGTATGCAATTGCAGTGGTGTTAAGTTTCTCACGGATAGCCTACATCTTACCAGCTAATGAAAGCTTTGGGCCACTGCAGATATCACTTGGGAGAACCGTGAAAGACATCTTCAAGTTCATGGTGATATTTATCATGGTGTTTGTGGCTTTCATGATAGGCATGTTTAATCTCTATTCCTACTATCTGGGGGCAAAACAAAATGAAGCGTTCACAACGTAAGTACAACTGATTAAACTGTAACCTTTATTTTCTTAACAATGACCCAATAAAATGCTCAATGTTCTTTGCAATGCTGCAGTAATTTTGGGTGTGGGGAACTGAGATCTCTTTATCAAAGCAAGAGAAATTAAGTCTTCAAACAGATGGCCATAGATAGGAAAAAGTACCTCAGAGGTTTGGACTTATATGTATTTATAAACTGATTAGGAGGAAATGCATGTTTAAATTTAATTTAAATTAACTAACCTGAAAAACAAAAAATAAATCACTATTCCCACGCCATTGCTTTACCCTGGAATTGTGTAATAAAAAATCAACCAGAAGATATTGGTCCATAAAACTAATTCTTTTGAAAACTGATGATTTGCCTGTCTTCTTCAAAGTTTCAGAATACTTATCATATTAATGGTAAAATAATTTCCAGTAAGTGAACTAATGGTGCAATTTAAATGAAGTATTTATAGATAATTCTTTTTTAAATTTACTTTCATATTAACGGCAACCTTGTAGCATGTAGATTGAAGTTAGCTTGTTAGTTAACAGGTGAATCATTGTAATACTGGGTTAAGAATGGATATATGATTCCCAAAACCATCTGATATGAATCAGATGGTTTTATTGTCCATCCTAAATGTTAGGAGTCTTGTGTTATGAAACAGCCTGTACCCATGAAATTAGACAGTCTACTTCTATGCACTGAGGTGGAGTTCAACATTATAATATTGGAAAAACTTGTACACTGTATAAAAATGATAACTGGCAATTTCTACAATAAGAATATACAGCTTTTCTTCAATAACATATGCATGTGTCCAATTTCTCCTTTTAGTGTTGAAGAAAGTTTCAAAACATTGTTCTGGGCTATATTTGGACTCTCGGAAGTTAAATCAGTTGTTATCAATTATAAACACAAATTTATTGAAAATATTGGTTATGTCCTTTATGGAGTCTATAATGTTACCATGGTCATCGTCTTACTGAACATGCTTATCGCAATGATCAACAGTTCATTCCAGGAAATTGAGGTAAAAAGTCCATTTATGATTAAAATAACACCCTATTTACTGTTACTAATTGTCTCAGGCTCCTGGAAAATTTTCTTGTTGACATCTGATTTAAGACAAGTACTGCATAAGCCTTTGGAATATTTTAGAAGAAAATATTAATTCCACTGTTCATTTTTATTATAAAATACCTGGCAGTTACTTGGCTGCATGTGCTTGCAGATAAGAACCAGACTGGTATAAGAAACTACTGGTGAACTGTGTTATGTTCCTGAGCAGTATGTGACTTTGTGAATCTTTCATTTGCCTCATTTGTAATTACTTGAGAAGTGTCCTTCTTGCTGCAAGGATGTTCTCTTTCCTGTGCCTCGACCTTGCAGGCAGGTCTCCAACATGCTGTGTTCTTCTTTCATTGAAACGAGTTGCTCTAGACCTCTGCAGTGAACAAAACATTACTTGGCAAAGTAATCAGCAGGGTTACTGAAGTCCAGCAGGACCTTTTGCATTCCATGGAAAACAGAGGGCTAAATCATTATCACTGTTTGGGAAAAAAGTAAGCAGATCTCCAGGAGCTGGGCCATCCCAGACTTTCCTAAGGGATCCTCTTGCTAAAGCAGCAAACTCAGATTTGACTCCTCTTTGGTCCCACATTCTGGGCTCTGACTGGGGGCTGTAGCATTGTCGAGCTAGAGCAAGGGCAACACATTGTCTAGGGATGTTCACATTCTTCTGGATCAGGAGGCCATAGGTCAAATAGATCAGGTTAGGAGCATTAAAAATACAGTGACTGGACAAAACAGCTTCTAAAAACAGGTACGGCAATATTGAGTCATGACCTTGAGCTGATGTACTACTTTCTGCAGAAAACCCTCAAACTTTACAGGGAGAAATAAAGTGAATGTTTTGGTGATCATAAAAGATAAACATAAACCATGGTGATGATAGTATATCTGGTTTAATCATATATTCCAGCAAATGGAAGAAATTAGGTAAGAATCACCTTTTTTTAGTTCATATTTAAAGTAATAGTCTATAGAATAGTTAAATAGAGTCTGTCATTGTGATCCTGTATTGCAGACTAATTAGCACTCAGTCTGGAATAAACAATGTTTATTGCATTATTTTAAATGGATTAATAAGAACATATCCATTCATTGAAATTTTGGTTTTCATAGATTTTGATCTACCTGTTTGAGATCTACTTCAGCCAATTACACTTAAAACACACATAAAATTTAGCTAGAGCATCTTCAATAGTCAAAGTGTTATTAACAGTGTCTTAACTGCTGTGTTTCTGTTTTACAGGATGATGCTGATGTAGAATGGAAATTTGCAAGGGCTAAACTTTGGTTTTCTTACTTTGAAGAAGGGAGAACTCTTCCAGTACCCTTCAACTTAGTGCCAAGCCCAAAATCTTTGCTGTATCTTCTAATCAGAATCAAAAAATGTATTTCTAAACCATTTTTGTGCCAAAAGAAAAGCTTTCAGGAAGATGCAGAGATGAACAAGGTAATTTTATCTTGTATGTACTGACTGCTAATTTTAGAAGATAAATGAAATTTTAACTTATTTTTTATTATTTCCCTGTTTTACTGATGAATTTCCCAGCATATTTAATTCATGTTGAAGTCATTCAGTAATGTGGGAAGATAGGATAGGATAGGATAGGATAGGATAGGATAGGATAGGATAGGATAGGATAGGATAGGATAGGATAGAATGGAATGGAATGGAATGGAATGGAATAGAATAGAATAGAATAGAATAGAATAGAATAGAATAGAATAGAATAGAATAGAATAGAATAGAATAGAATAGAATAGAATAGAATAGAAGTTTAAAAACCCCTGCTAAAGTTCAGGTCCAATGAACTTACCTTCATCCAATTGTCACTTAAATCCCTTTTCCCCCTGAGCAACAGGGCCTGCATTCTCTTTGTTCTGCCTTACATTGCTGCTTCATCAATAGAAGTTCTTACTGCCCTTGGAAATGTGTGGCAAGCTTTGTCTTTCCCAAAGCCACCTTCATATCCCTGGGCAGTTTCTAAGTTCCCCCTTGGCAGCCTGTCTCTGCTTCCACTGAAAATGCCCCTTGCATTGCCCCTACTGTAAAATATTTTGTTACCTGTTTTCCTTACACAGCTTCAGTAAAAATGCACTTGATTTGATTCATTAGACTTGGTTAAAGAGTTTGTAGCCAGTGTATTTTTCCTGCACTCTCTTGGTATAAATCAAGTCAATTGCTTTCAAAGAACATGGAATGTTAGGTGGTATTGGAAATGTAAAGACTGGCACTATTCTAGCACTATTGTAACACATTAGGGAAGAAGAGGTGTGCAAGGCAGCTGATCAGGTGTTGTGAGTAAAAAGGTGAGCATGTGGTAACATAAAAA